GACGGAGGGGGGGACAGGGCTGGCACAGGGGACACACCTAGGGATGGGGGGACACACCTGGGGACAGGGGTAAGGACAGGGCTGGCACAGGGGACACACCTGGGGACAGGGGATGGGGTGAAGACACAGGTAGGGACAGGGCTGGGGACATGGGGACACCCCAGGGGACAAGGGACAAGGTTGGAGACACAAGGCTGAGGTTGGGGACACCACAGAAGTGTCACCTTGGGGGCCTCAATGGCCGTGTAGGTGGCCCCAGGTGGCACCTGGTAGCCCTCAGTGTAGAGCTTGAAGTGATGGATCAGGGACTCCATGGAGGTCTGTGGAGACAGGGGTGGCACTTCAGCAGGTGCCATCGGCCCTGGGTGCCCTTGGTACCCACCATCCACCTCCTCTCATCACCGTGTCCCAGTCCTCCCTCCCCCCGGGGCTCACCTGCCACCCCCAGAGCTGCCACCTCCCCCTCACCTTCATCTCTGCCCGTTTGGGTGGTGACACCTTGGCATCGTCCACCTTGATCTCCCCTGGTGGCATCTTGTTGAGGCACTGCAGGATGATGCGCAGGGACTGGCGCATCTCCTCCACGCGGCACAGGTACCTGGGGCACCCCGAGGTCACAGGGGGGTCCCCGGGCAGGGACAGCCCCCCCCGGGCCCAGGTGGGTGTACCTGTCGTAGCAATCCCCGCGGGACCCGATGGGCACATCGAACTCCACCTGGTCGTAGACGTCGTAGGGTTGAGTCTTGCGCAGGTCCCAGTGGATCCCGGAGCCTCGGAGCATCACCCCACTGGGACAGCCAAAGGGACAGGTGTGGGTGGCACGGCTGGGGGGCTCAGGTGGGCACAAGCTGGGGGGTTCAGGGGGTGGCACCCCCCCAGGGCTCACCTGAAGCCGTAGTTGAGAGCCTCCTCGGCCGAGATGACGCCGATGTCCACCGTGCGGTTCTTCCAGATGCGGTTGTTGGTCAGCATCTGGGGCAGGGTTGGCACAGCTGGCACACCTGGCACAGGTAGCACTCACCTCCTCCCCACACTCCTGTCCCCACTGCCCATCCC